GGGATGCTTTAAATCGTGCAAAGTGGAGGGAGGGGGTAAGAGCGATTGCCACTAGTTTAAGGTGAATCCGGCCACCCTTGTCTTCGGGGACCAAACCGGATTTAAAACTCTGGACTACTACTACTACAAGATCCTGTTTTAAGTGTAAAATCAAACGTGAAAACAGAACAAACAAAGATCATAGCGACACAGCGACATCAAAAGATCATGTCAGATTCAACAAACAGGAAGGTATTTTGGGTATATTCACGTCTAATAATGTGCTATACACATTTGATGATGGTCAATTATCTCAGCACCACCTCTCTGAAATATACGCATTTTGACATTGAACAATATAAAGACATTCAAAATCAGATATTCGCGACAAACGTTTGATGTCTTTACACATTACACAAGTCTCAGAGTAAACAGAAAATGACCTATGTATGCTAGCTTAATTCTGGTAATCACATCTTGTGGTACAGCAACAGCCAGTAGTGGTGTATTAAAATAGAATTGACCAATTTAACAGAACCAGGAACAGACATTTTGAAAGTATGGATAAACTAACCTGTTTTACAGCCTGATCTTTCCAACCAAAAATGTATAAGAACAATAAACAACACAGCGTTCAATAAAATAGTTCTGTGGGGAGATAAAAATAAAAATCTTTGGTAAACAATGCTCTGGTCATTCCTAATTTCAGTCTTATATATTATATTCTGCATTTACACAACAACCCCATCAATAATGTAAATTAATCTGTTGTTATCAATACTCATAACCTTAAGTTTGAATGTATCTGGGAAATAGTGATACTTGTCTATAAATGTATCTATATATCTTACCTTGCCATAGTTATATAAAGTTTTACTCTTGGACTGCGATAGTTTTCATAATTACTTATAAAACTAAATATTGGTGGCAGCACAAAATTCAATCCACAGATAATTAAAGGCATAATTAACACAGTCAAGTCACCAAATTGTTCTTGCTGAAACATAAATACAAATACATTATATCAATATCTATACCAAAGCATTCAACATTGAAGTTTCACATGTGTATTGAATACACTTTGAAACCCAACAATCACATGACACATCACATATGGGTTGAATAATTATTTTTTCTATTTGTAACACTAACACTTTAAATATGTAAATGACATACTATAATAGTTATCATATAATATATGCAAATTTACATTTAAGTGCACTTCTATATACCGGTAGGATATACATGTATGGTATGTTGAAATGTTAAAATAGTAAATTCAATTTATAACTATAGAGGGCGCCCTTCAATTATACCATCCTCTGATCTCGTATCAAACCTGATCATCCATCCATGAATTATTTGGCTATAACACTTATACCTTGAAATTTTATGAT